AGGACACAGGACACAGGACACAGGGAAGGCGGGGGAGTCCCGAGGGGGAGCACGGGGTGGCACTTGAGCGCTTGCGGCGGGAGGATCCGAGGGTTTGCCGCTGTGTCTGTCCCCCTGAGCAGCTCCGTGCAGGGCGTTCTGGGACGGGTCATGTTGCCTTGGCTTTGGAGGTGAACGCCRTGGTGAAAGGGGTCTGCCCGATCCCCTAGTGATGCGGGCTCCCGCGGGGCAGCAATCCCCAGCACCCCAGGGTGACCCGTCAGGGTGATCCCAGGGATTCCCAGGGGTGTCCACCTCCACCTTACAGCTGCAGGGCACCCAAACGGAGCCCGACGTGGCAGTCTATCCTCGCCAGGGTCTCAGCTCTGACACTGCCAGAGAACATTGAGCACTGGATTAACTGGCAACCTAAATTTGCTTAACAACCATTTCCATATCGGCCCAGGACAATGCTGACCAACTCTAATGCAGTGCTACAGATGTGTCTCTATATGACATTATTTTGTTCCACTGCAGCTGTCTGGGCAATGCTCCCTCCTCCTTTTCCCAGGGGCCAGCAGGATCTAATTTGACCTACCCAAGAGATTTGCATAGGGAAATAGACTGTTCTTATGACATATTCCAGTCTCAATTTAAGATCACACCAAATTGTCCTCCATGGACTCTCAGGGAGCCAGAAAGGCACCAGGACAATGCCTGCACTGCTCTTTTGGGCAGCTGCCTAGGCTGTCCTTGCCAGGGTATGTGGYAGATGAACAGCAGCCGTAGCTCAGGCCTGGCAAGTGTTTCAAACCCAGGTGTCCCTGTATTGCTGGWAAATCCTTGTATATCCACCAGCACACCATTTCACAGGAAAACTCCTTTTAGGTTTTCTAGCAAAGTATATCCCTCTTCACTTTGAGATGAAAAGGGCAAAATGACATGAAAGCCAGAAGAAATAAGTTGTAGATGACTGTGCAAATGGCAAAACAAACAGCAAATGCATAAAGAATATTACTCCCCCTCATTGCGGTACCTTCTCGTCAGCAAACACAAACCCCCAAACAATTCTCTCAAATGTTGCTGGAAAATATTGTGGCAAATAAATCAAGGTTTAACACTGGAAATATWTCACACATTATAAAACATGATTTTTAATAAATTTTAAACTTAAGACAGGCATTGAAAAYACAATCTATATGTTCATGACCATGTATTTTGGAAAATGCATATTCATAGCTGATGAAATCAGTGTAATTGTGTTCACAGGAATTCAATTTCATCTCAAGTAGTGAGATGCTTATGAAAGCATAGTCCATTTTCTATCATTTCCTACTACCATAAAACCTAGTTTTCAAATTGGCTTTTTGTACTTGCAATTAGCAATCTGCCATTTGTCTAGACAGCAGACTAGCTGAATATCTGGTGTT